CATTTTTTGAACTGCTGATACAGGATATGAGAGGGAAAGCTCTCACTCAGGGATTTAGGGTGGACAAACACAACGAAGCTAAAGATTTCCTATAGCAAGCAACCTAGCCTCAGGGCTGCTGAGCCAGGTAATTTCTAGGGCATGGTGTCTGACCAGACTGAATGCTATGGGGCTTGACTTTCATCCTGGACCTCCTACAGGTGCAGGAATGTCACTCCTTGTCTGTTCTTCTTGTTCACCTGCTCTTGAAACTCTGTGTGACCCCTTTGAAATGTCAGGGCATGCGCTGGGGTGGGGGAGGCCAGTCCCTTTGTCTGCCTGCACATAGGAATCCCTGATCCTGGCCAATGCCACCAGAGGGTGTCTGTTGTGATCGGACCCATCCTGTGACTGACTGGCCTGGAGCAGCAGCCTGCCCATCAGCAATGCTGCTAGCTAATTGAGAAGCTAATAGATAAGGTTGCCATATCAGCATGCCGGCAACTCCTCCCCTACAAAATGAGCTTGGGTAATGATGATAATTACAGATGGAGCCTGAATCCTGTCTCTGCTGGCAGCGGATGAAACTGGTTACTGCCCGACGGCTCTTTGTTGAGCCAAGGAAAATGAATTTATGGTGTTGCATCAGTTCCTAAGACATGAGTTTCTATAGCGCAGGAATTCACCTGTGGGGGACACCTCTGCTGCCAGTCTCAGCTGTGGCTTGGAAAGGTGGGCTTAAAGGCTTGGCTGCCCAGTAGTACTGACAGCTAGTCCTCACCAGAGAGGAGTGGGCCTCAAGTAGGGCATGAAGTGGAGTTTGCTGTCTTGCTAGCCCAGATGTGCCTACTGCATAAGCAAAGGGGAGTGGAGGGACTTCTGCAGTGTCTGCAATGAGGAGTTATAAAGCTATTCCTGGCTGTGCTAGGCAGTCAGAAACAGCAGCACTGAGAGCTGTGAATGAGGTAACATATTTACAGTGCATTATGGACAGCTGAGGAAAGTCTTGTTTTGTTGCCCTCAGTCACCAGACTAAGTGCACTGAAGAAACCAGCATCCTGGAAAACATTCCCCATCTGAAGCTCCTCAACGTTACCCTACTACTGGATCCACCCCTGGCTCTAGTTGGGCTGGACACCCACTGGCCTGGGATAGTATGGGCTAAATTTATGCTTCCTGGGCACATCACTTGGCAGAAGATGACAGAGCAGCAGCGCCCACTCTTTTCTGAGTGCTGTGCTCTGTGCACCCTTCCAGTTCCCTCATTTTGAGTCACTGAACCTGTGACAGTTGTTCTTGTCTCTTTCTCTTGTTTGATATCCTTAGATCTCCCAGTTTTCTCCTGTCGCCTTCCTCTTCTCTTCCTGGGGAGGCTTTATTTTTGCAGCAAGCATTTTGTCTAGATCCTCACAATGCAATCCAGTAGGGGCAAGACCCATTCCTGGAGAGCAGAATTTTGATGGTGTGAAACACAGCAGAAACCAGTGCAGATGGCCTCCACTGCCATTGTAGGTCACACACTTAGAAGACAGGCACCGGGCTCTTGGTGGCTAAGAAGTGTTGGCAGAAGAGTGCAATCCTTGTTACTATGATGAATGTGAAAATGGCAAATGCTCTTGTGCTGCTGCAAAGTGACTTGCCAGATCATGGCACAACAGATTATGCTCTTTGTCCACACCATGTGTTGTGACACATTGCCATGTTCAATAGCTCTGCAAGTTGAAAGACTAAAGGGCAGGCACTAATGCACAAAAAGGCCAAATCTCCAGAGGGACTCATACTAGTTGAAGGAGAAGATTTTGCTCCCTTGTGATTCTGTCCATGCCAAAAAAGTGCCCCGTTAAACATTATGTTGAGCTTGGAGAAGGTGTGAGCATGGCTTGCAAAGCGTATGTCTGCAAGCATATGTCTGAATTGTTTTCTGGTGGTGCTGCATGGATCCATAGCCCAACCAAAGTCACAGAAAGAGAGAACTCCTGCAGGGACTGTAGCTGAGATCAAAGATCTGGTGAGTAGGGATGTCCGACCTGCTCTTGCCTTTGCCCCAGAGTCATGAGATTTTCAGTAGTGAAAAACCTAAGACCCAAAAGATACCGTGTGTCTGTTCCTGCTCCAGACAAAGGGAATATTAAAAGGAACATTGGTGAAGACAGAAAAAAAAAAGTGAAACTACAGGGCAAATGCAACTACATGATTTGGACCTGCTTTTATAGAGCAAAGACTGGAGTTCTGAAGTCATTTAGATGCAACATCAAAAATATTATAGCTAGACACAAAGGTGGACATGTAGACAAAGCACACAATTAATGGGATTTATTTGGGTCGGAATGATGTGGATGTCATGCCTCTACAGATTTTGATGGTCCTGTTTTGCTATTTTCAGGCAACAAAGCACATTCTGCTACAGGATATAATGGTCAGAACCCACATTTCAGGTTTTTTTTTGGTGGAGTATGAAAGAGTATCTGAGAGCAAAATTCAGGCATTAAACAATATATAGCAAGTCATAACCATAGCAAGACTAGTCTTGCTATGGTTACATACATAATACTGCAGCACTCTTGGCCACTTTCAGAATGAGAAATATATCATAAAAGAAAATTGTTTGGAAGGAAGTTGCTGACTTTGAATAGGGACTGGCATGTTCTTTTCTTCTCTATAGTGTTAGTGCAATTGCATGCTTAGCTTTAATATTTTATTTCCACCCTTGCATTCAGAAATGCAGAACCACAGGGCAGTGCCAATAACAGATGCTACAGAGGAAAGTGCGAAAAATCCCATAATGAACAATGATGGAATAAGCTGCCCAGTGATGAAAATTTCTTTCTAACCCCAAGCAATTAGTGGCTGGATTATATCATAAAACATGAAGGTTTGTGTCTTTTCTACATTTTTATCCAGTCTAATGTGACTGTAGATGTTCTCATTATCCACATAAATGTCTAATCCTTTTATATATTTATTTATTTTTTAATGCTGGTAAGCTCCAGGCCTCAATAAAGCCTGTGGCAAGGAATAAAGTTTTGGAGAGTGCATTAATGCTCATGAGAAGGAAGAGAATATGGTGGAGTAAACACATGATGTATCCTACACCTAACCTGCTACAAAGGAGCTAGCTGTCAAGGTTTCATTGCTACTGGGGACAGGCAGAAATAAAATGAGCGGTAAGGTTCTGGCTGACCACTTTACACCTCTGCTATCACTTAGGATGTCGCTGAGTTATGAGTAAGCTGAGCCCTAGGAAGGACCAATGTATTGCTGAGGACATGCCGAGGTAAATTCCAACTTCACAGAAAGCCAAATACTTGGAACTCAGCTCTACTGGCAGAGGGGAGACCCTCATCCTGCAGGCAAGTGAAGCAAGGATGACTTTTACCTTTCAGTGTGTTAGGCTTTTGGTGTTTGTGCATGGACTTACTATGGACTGCTGGCTGAATGACTCTCAAAAACTCAGAGAAGATCACATTAAGGCCATTGACTTTCATATAATCTTAGATGAAATACCTAACTCAAAGCTTTCTTTAATTATGGGAGTATTTGGAGGTAATAATGAAAGCTCAAATCATTATGATTCATCTAGAGAGATCATCTTTTCTCGGATATCTGCAGTAATGTATCATGGAAAATTAGCTAAGAGGAGCTAGATAAAGCAGAAAAAAAAGATAGATGTAGAAATGGGTGGATAAACAGAGAGATGATGGACTGGCAAACAGGTAGATGCTTAGATGAACCAATGGGTATATTTATATCACCTTTCTTGCTGTGGTGGCTCAGCGAGCACACTGAGGCTTCCTTCAATCTTCTGATGCCTCCTCATAAGCTACCAAGAGCTCCCCATCCCTCTAACCTGCTACAAACTTGTACACATGTCTAACTCCTAGCACAGTAAGTCCCTTGATTTCAATTCTGCTTAAAGTTGAACTTATAGCTAAATGTTTACGAGGTGTATGTGGGAAGAAATTATAACTATTTTTTTCAATACTCTTGATATTTCTGGACTTTCCTTTGCTGCATTCACAGTTGTTTTGTGTTCTTTTTTTTTTAATTTTATTATTTTTTTTTCAGTGACTTTGGCCAGTAACTAGGCAAGACTTTTGCACTTCTGTGTTATGTGATATTTTTCCTTGTAGCTCATAAAGTCCCAATTGATGTTGAATATTTTGAGTTTTCAGGACTGGTTGAAGTGGAAAGATTTCTTTTTTTTTTTTTTCTTTTTTTTTTTCTTTTTTTTTTATTAGGGTTTTTGCAGGATTTTTGGCTGGAGTATCTGACTGAATGTTTGACTTCCTAACAGAGTAGATTAATCTGAGTGCCCCAGGGTAAAATACACCTTTGCCAGCTGGTGACTAGGATCAAATAGTAAAATTTATTTAAAATGTTATTGTTATGATTGGTATTATTAGTATACACCAATTGGTTAGGAAAATCTTTCCAGCAAAAGCACAGCCTGGAGCAGAGGGCCGTATCAAATCCTGAGGACTGTGGAAAGATGTTAGTGCACAATAAGGAACCCTAAGTTCTTGGTGATTACAGCTTCAATGTGTTCGTAGACCTGTGCGGTGTCAAGAGTTGGACTTGATGATCCTTAAGGGTCCCTTCCAACTCAGGATATTCTATGATTCTATGATTCTATGATATATTTGGTATGTACCAGTACAGAGGCAGGTACTTATTCTTTAATCTGCCTCATTCATTCCTGACTGCCAGGACTTGCAAAATTACCCCTTCAATACTGGATCTTTTGAGTTTGTCACAGTCTATGAATCCTAGCAGCTGTGCCTTGGTGGTGTACCACTAAAGGGTGAAGCTGAGCCAGTTCTGTGTCTGTATTGAGACAGCTTCACTCTTCAGACCTGGTAAGGCAACAGGGTTTGAATGCAGCTGTTATTTTGGAGACCAGCACCCACTGCCTGTGCCCATGGTCTGAAGGTGCAAGGTACAATCCTTCCGAAGCAGCTTACACTACTTCAGATGTAGATGATTTCCCTAGGACTGAAGGAGCCGGCTGTGGTCTGACTTACCTGGATAAGGGTGGATGCCATTAGCAAACACGGCTTCTGCGGCGGGCTGCCCATTAGCCTGCGGCGGGAGGCCAGTGAAACCATTCACCCCAATTGGAGATGGGATGCTAGGCACAGCTGGTGCAGTTATGCCAGGAGGCGTGCTTCCACCTGCAAGTGAGGAGAACACAAAATTAAAGCTGATGAGTACTCGAAGCAATAACTACCTGGAGAAAGCTACTGACACAGCAGCTGTGATCACCACGCAGAAGCCTTCTGATAACTCAAGAAATGAAAAATCTTCCAAATTTTCTCACAACTAAAGGGACTGCTCACACCATCACAGGATAAACTTGTCATTGCTCCCCTATTTGGAAAGCACTTAACATAAGAACGGCTTGCAAAGCTTCCTTCAACAGAGAGGCATGTTTTTGGTGATCTATCTCTAGACTAGATCCACGGCTAACATCAAGTCATAGAAGACACTAGGAATATCACGCTTCCTCCTCAACTCTCTCCCTGGAGTACTACATGTTTAATGGCTTAATAAGTAGGAATTTCTTTCCTAGATATCATTTAGCACCAAAAACAAATTCACAGTCCCACCTTTCTACAGTTTCTCTTTGGAGATGTCAGCTTTGTGGGTGTAGTGATTTTCAGGGCTACTCTTTCTGCACTCTCTCATGAATACACATTTAAAGTGCAAACTAAACTTCCTCAGCATCAGAGATGCTGAAAAGATTTGGCAAGTTGATTTATAGCCTAAAGGCATCCCTTGATACATTTTTTAGTGTTGATGTTTGGCCCCAGCCTGACTTTGTAGAGTTTTAGTAAGGATCTCACACTGAAAAGGGGCAAAAGTTGTGCTAGATTTGTTTTTTCATGGAACCATACTCCTCCCCTTCTTCCCAGCCCCCTGCCATGGGGGGCTGCAATGCTGCTATTTCAGAGAAACAATTTAATTGTAAGTTTTGGGTGGGATCCTGTGAAGAAGGACCTTCACACTGGTGAAGAAATCTTAAATTTCTGAGGGGAGAATAAAATCTCTCTGCTATCTTATTGTCTTCTCCTATGCCAGTTTAAAATGACTGGACAGTCTGTGCTTCTTGAATCATTTTCAGGATGCTTCTGGAGACCCCAAATCAGTTTTCAATACGTATGAAACCATACTTTTCTCTTGCCAACTGTGGGTGAAGCTAAACTATCTTATCTTCAGCAATATCCTTCTGTGTCAGGGTATACTACTGACTGAAAGTACCATTTTTGCAGGAAACTTTTTTTTAAACTGATTGAAGAAATTTTCTTTGCCATAGCAGTACACCACGATGGGTCAGTCCAACAACACGCTATCGACTACTTAAATCAGTGTTGGTACTTTAAGAGAGCCAGTAAGATTCATGAGCTGTTTCTATATGTTCTGATTTGAGCAGCCCAACAAGCAGGCAATATTTCATCTCTTTTCTTATACTCTGAGCAGACAAGCTGCTGCTTTCCCTTTGCTTATTTAAATGGTGTTGGCCTTTAAAAATGTCCTCAGTGGGGATACTGGGAGCCGGTGGTGGCAAACCCAGTCCAAAGGCAATGCTCGAAGCATATGCCATCAAATTGCAAATCACAAAGGCTAGTTAAAATTTCAGTTTCTTTTCTGGATCTCTCCTTTATTTGCATAGGCAATGTAAGTAGTTTTTTCTAAAATTGCAGCAAGGGATTTGCGCTTGCTATTTTGTGCATGTGTAAGGAAGTTTAGGCAAATTCATTGCAATTCTTTAATTTTCTTCTTTTAAAGAACCCCCTGGAGAGGTCAGATCTGTAGTCGGAGGAGGACTGGCATAATGCCACCACAGAGAACAAATGGCACTGCTGCATGCCAGTTGTGGATTTCATCCCCAGTTTGAGGCATCTTACTGCAGCTACACCAGGTGCAGATTTACAGCATGGAAGGAGAGGGGCATGAAGGGAGAAGGGAAGAAAGGAAGCCTAAATGAACTTTCATTTCTAGTCCTATCTTTGCAGGAAACAGTGAGGCATAAGTAACCAGGAAGACCCACTTTTCCCTCAGATTATAACAATTACGGGAGAAAAGCAAAATATGCACCAAGCTTTCAGTGACACCAAATTAATTTCCTAGCAGTTGTGGACTATTGTGCAAAATAAACCTGATTCTTTTAGGGAATCATCAAAATGCAGGCAAATAGGATAAAGTTATTATGGTCTGAACTACCCACTGGGACTGCCTACTGCTCTGCATTGACTGCAGGCAATCCAGATGACTAGTTCAAACTGGATGTCTCATTTTTCTATGGTTAAAGCCATGTGAAATGCACCCTGTCTCTAGTCTGTTAGATCTGCCTGGATCCAAGACTCTTGAAGTTCCCAGGTCCCTTGGGAACTCATGAACATCAATGAACTCATGGCCTTGACCTTAGAAACCCACTGTCCTGGGGGCTGGATTAGGAATGCTGCAGAAGCAGGTTCTGGTATGAAAGGGAGGTGAGAACCCGAGGGGCCTGAGGATACCAGCACAGAGGCACGGTGCCCAGCCAATACCTCCAATGCCTTTAGGAATTCTGTGTTACCAAAGTCTTTTTTCTAGCACAGTTTTTCTTTTTGCTTAGGAAAGATCAAAACACATATTTTTTTTTTTTTCCCCTCAATGTTCCAAACACTTTTTCTAACGCCTGTTTTTCACAGAACTTTGAAATGTTTCATTTTCATTCCAAGTCAGAACAAAGATATACTTCAATGACTGGAAATCCTGCTATGAAGCAGGATGATCATTTTCCATTTGGCTTTCTGAATGCTAACAAAAGCCAGCAGGAGAATTCACTTTAGGCTTCAGATATCTCCTGGCTACTCAGAAATTGCTGCTAGTGTTGTAGGCTTGCTTGCTCAGACGTATGTGAAACATTTTCTATGCATCTTATCACAAGCTTTGCGAGTGTGGCAGTAATACAAGGAGTCATTTCAAAGTCTAAACATTTCACCCAAGAAATAATTGCCATTGGACATCTCCACAACCCATTACAGAGGTTTTACATGAAGTAAGCTACACACTCAAGGTAAATCTGCAATAATGCCAAAATGCATGGGCTGCACGACTGAGAATATGTCATAGGGAAACTGCAGAGTCTGCCACCATGAAAGAGATCAAGGGACCATCTAAACCAGCATCTTATTTTCAGTAATGACCAGTCATGGATGCTCTGGAAAGCATGTAAAAGACATGAGCTTTCTTTCCTCCTGTATTCTGACAATAAGAGTTTAACAGTTCCCAGAAGGCAGTGGGCACCTCAGAAGAAGAGCAGAACTTAGAAGAAGAGCTAGGATATTTTCCGTGTCCTGGATATCATGGCAGACATAGGATTTGGCTGTTGTACTGGTATTTATGCACCTGTGTCACAGGACTGCTAATTCTGAAGACATTTATACTCAAAAGGGTTTGTGCTCTTTTGTGGTGAGGCCATCATGAGCCACAGCCTGGATTCAGCTTTCCAGGCCCTGAGAGCATTTGAATTCCAGGCATTCTTTGTTTGACATTCTCTCTGCTCCCACCAACACAAAACAAATCTAGCTAATGCAAATATGATAATCTTTCCAGCAGCGGGTTTAAAGGGTGCACATATAATTAAGCCACTTTTCTATTTGGATTCGCAGTAGCTTCATCGACTCTTTGTTTATACATTTATCGTTGTGTAAACATATATTTCAAAATGTATGGTGTAAGATTTTCAAGTCAAGCACTTTTTCTTGGTTCTCCATGAGTTCATGTGGAATGAGATCTTTCTCTCTTTCTCTCCTTTCCCCTCCACACCCTCATATTCTAATACAATCTGACCCAGTAGCTGCTGACATTGTTCCCAGCTACAGATTGCAAAGAAGCTAAGCTGTGTGCTAATGGGGAGGTTTTCTTTGGCAGACAGAAGTTAGCAGAACTGGATTCATTAGAACTGGATTCAACAGCCTCCAAGCCTGCTCTGCCACAGTACCTTATCTCCCTGCCATCCAGCGTTTCTCTGCCATGAGGTATCTTTCCTGGCTGCTCTGTCAGTTGGCCCTTTCCTGCTCCAGTGCTGGTGCAGGTTTCTCCATGTTCAGCAGTGAAGCTGCTCTCTTACAGCTCTGCTCTGCAGGAGTCCCAGATCTTGCCTTCCTACCACTCACTGCACCATGACTGGCTCAGGCCTAGCTCACTCCTGCCACATCTCACCCCAAACCCTTGTCAAGCTGCTCCTCTCCAGGCTAGCTCAGTGCTTCAGCACATTGCTCACTGCAATGCCATGTCACTGAGCTCAGTCTCACCTCCAGGACCTCTCACAGGAACAAATGGCATCACCCCTGGAACACATCTGTCCCAAACTGTCCCTTAGAAATGGTCCTTCTCTGCAGTTACATCTTTGTATCTTCTGCTCCCCTACCAGACTCAGCAGTATACTGCAAACCTTTCCAAATTCTCACTTATTTCATGGTTTGGCCCTGCTTCCCCAGGTGCCACCCTAGTCTCCTGCTCTTAGGCTACCCACCACTGCATGACTACCTGTCCTGTCCTGTCCTGGACCTGTTCCTGCCCAAAGGATTTCCTTGTGCTTCAAGCCCCCGGAAGTCCAGTCCTGTTTCCACCCCAGCTTATTTCTCTGCCTCTGAATAACATAACCCACTTCCTAGCACAGGCTGCTTGTGACCTGTCACACTTTAGCCAGACCCTGGCTGCCCATCACTGACTACCTGTCTCTGCTCCAGGAGCAAGAAACCTTCTCACCAAATGCTTGCATTCCAGGCAGCACCTTCCCTGCAGCATCTTCCCTGCAGCATCTTTCCTGAGCACCTCCAGTCCTATTTCACACCAGCACAAGGCTTATGTGTCCCAAAGACACAGCTCATCTCATTAGCAATGTAACATCCCACCACAAACCTTATTTTGTTTGTTGTTGGACATACCTGGCTGTGCCTGCGCTACCACTGACCCTTCATGTGTCCATACATACCACCAATAAACCAGTACAGATCACTGGGGGGTGTTTTGTGATGTTGTGCCATTGATGATAAGAGACACTGACCTCCAGCTGGCCCTGGTACCAGCAGAGGCTCCCTCCTTCATCCCCAAAAAGGATCAGGTCACCTCTGCTCCTTCCTTCTGGTGGCCTTCATCAGCAAGACCACCAATTTAGAAATTTAGAAATTTCTCCTGGGGAAGAAGCTGACACCTAATGCATCCTTCCAGGTCTCCTCTGCCACATGGCCGGATTTTCCTGCCCTTTGCCCTTTCCACCCCTCTTGGCCCCTTACCTGAGGTTGGAGTCATGGGGGCGGCCGCCAGGCCGTTCATGTTCAGAGCCGCCATCTGCTGCATCTGGGCCGCGGCGAAGGCTGCCATGGGGTTCAGGTAGCCGCCCTGCGCCACCGAAGCCATGATTGCGGCCTGCTGCTGCATCAGCTGGAACAAAGAGAGCAGGGAAAAAATATCACGCAGTCACCAGCAGAGCAGCCTGGGGCACCAGCACCAGGACGGAGGCCACACACCAGGGTGTGAGGGACCCCTCTGGTTTGAGATGTCAGCTCACCATGTCTCTGGTACCCCCCAACCTTAGCATTCTTTCTCACTACAAGGGGCAAAATGTATTATTGCAGCTTGGGGTCTTTATGCCCCCACATCCCCATTGTGTTCTCCAGTGTGGAGGTCTCCTCTAAGCTGGACTCAGCACTCTGACTGCCAGACCCTTCCTTGATGAGAAAGGCAGAGAAAACACTTTGTATGTTCCTGAGCAGAGAGGTTTCATGGCTTACGTTGCTTGTATCAAAGCTCTGGGAAAGCAGTGGTGGCTGCTGAGGGGAGACCAGTGTATGTGGAGCAGTGAGGAGTGAGGGTCCCCTCTCCAGAGCAGCAAGCTTAGCTAGTTCTCTGGGGATAACTTGACGCATTTTCATCTGGTGGTGAGAAAAATCACTCTTTATCATGTTGCTGGGATTTCCTTAAGTTTTATTTTTTCTAGAATGTCATCAAAATACTACCTCTTCTAAAGCACCTACAGAAGGCAGAAACAAGGAACCTGGGCTATATTTTCAGGCATTTTGCAGTAAGAATTTTGGAAGAGAAGTGGCTAGCATTTGGAAGCAAATGGATAAGTATGCTGGAAATGCTTCCTATCTTAAAACCAGACCTTGATATCATTATTTTTTACTCTGAGCCTAACTCATGAGCAGTGCAGTTCATGTGTACAGTATGGTTGCCGTGGGCCAGTAAAACGCTACTCGTGTGAAGAAGACAGCTTAGATGAAGCTGCCTCTTGCCTCACTTCTCTGGAGCTGTACAAAGAGCCAGATAAGTAACATCTGAGGTCCTGTGAGACAGTGTCCAACCCCCAGTACTGACTGACAGTGGATGCTTAGAGAAAGGGTGGGGAAAGAGGATGAGCAGAGACTGAAAACTCACTCTATTCACTCCCCAGCCTTTGGTAACATATGACTTGATGACAACAACAGAGAAGGAAACTATTTTTTTATAAAGATTTTGGAAGTGACTCATGTATTTGCTGTCTCCGGAATGAGTTTTGCTGCTCTCTGTGATTTCACTTTCTCTCCCATCAAGAAATCACCCTCTGATGCTGTTGTTTAAGCACACAGGATACGCTTCTCGGCATTAAACAGACTTCAAAAGTCACGACAAAAAAGTCATGACAAAATTGTGAGAAAATCTGACAAAGTCACGACAAAATCTGCTCCTTGCTGTTTAATGTTGAAATATTGGCTAAATTGACTGTTCTTACATATACACACTGAAACAAATCCTTGAAATCACCACTCTCACTCAAATACTGAAAATTTCCTTGTCACCATCTGTGAAAAGACAAAATTAAAGGATGCTCTGCATCCACAGTATGGGATCCACTGTATAACCATACACAAATTGTGCAAACTCACCTTGGCTTCTCCAGGTATAAACTGAGACACAGGATATCTGTCTCCCCATGCAGGGGTGACTTCAGATCTACAGATGAAGAGTGCAGTACTAGAGTTGAGTACTATTATTTTTTGTAGCCTCATACAGATTGGTGCCAAGGTGGTGACTTCCCCTTTGATTGTTAATTACCCTTTTTTATTGTACCCTGCATAAGACACTTTCACATTTTAATTAGTGATATCCTGTTCTTTGTAATTACTGATGGAGTGATTAGACAATCTTTTCTATTATAGCACAATGCCGATTCCCCTTTAAGGGGTACATTTGTGCCATACATTTGTAGGCATCATTTGAGCTTATTCTCAAAATGAGGCACTGAACAGGTGATTTTATTAAGTATGCCAATGAAGTGAATGAGGAAAGGGGAATCCGTCTATCTTTAACACTGGACTGACTCCAGCACTAGGTATACTGACCCATATCTCATTTTCTGTGCCAGGTATTTTCACCTGGTGACAGCTGAGGATGTAACTGGCCGGTTGGAGAAACGATGGCCAAGATCTGTGCCTATAGGATCTATTTAACATTGCTGATCCAAGTAGCAACTTTCTGAGATGGATGCAGTTGCAAGGGCTGGGATCAGTCCCAGTCTGGCCTTTGCTGACTTTTCTTTGTGTTCCTCCACACCTGATCAGAGCTGCACAAATGAACACAGCCCAGAATATGGAGTGACCTACAGCTGGTCATGTGTGTGCCATCATCAGTCTGACTGGCAGATAATAGCCTGGAATTTGTACCAGGGACTTTCTTTGGGACTTCTAGGGCAGACACTGGACTTTGATTTTGACATTTCCCTTTGTCAGATTCTGTAAACTAAATACAGATGGGGTACCTCTGAGTTAGTCACCTATTATGGTTGATGTGATAACAGGCAGAAGAATCTAGGCCAAGATTCATCTCTGCCTTCTGTACCCAATTGCCTCTGGGCAGATGAATTGCAGCTTTGTTTCTTCCTATTGACTGCATGTGAAACCCCTGGTGATCAGTTCAGCTGCACATACTGACACAGTCAGGTAAAATTATTCCCACTCCTTACTTGGCCCTCAGTGGATATTTTTGGATGTCGGTTCCCAGACATTTAAAAGAAAAGTGTTAATCCTTTTTTTTTTGTTTGTTTCACCTTTGCTGTAAGAAACACAGGGCTCTATCTACAAGACACTGTGTTGCCAATGGTAGCACAAATGATTGTGCTACTCCAAAGACAATCTCCATTTTGCACTCAGCAGAGCTAAGCAATCACTTGTGACATTATTTATGGCTTATGCAACTTCCTTTCCTGCTTATAGATGTTTCTGAGCTGTTCAGAGTTAGCTCCATAATGGTAGATACTTCTCCCAGTTTGCAAACTGTGGGGCTTCTTGTCTGTTCAGAGGGCTTGTAAGTTTGCACTGGAATATGTGTGTTGGGAGACAATACATGGCTACATGTGTACCACCTTTTGCAGTATAATGCTATGCATGTATTTCTGTCATAGATCTTCAGAAAGAAGAAGAAGATATTTTCTCATATCACGAGAGGAGGAAGACATTCTTAACCTGCTCATGACAGCTGGAGGTGCAGGGACTACAGCTTAAAACCTGGCGTGTTTTAAAAAAAACATTCAGAAAAAAAACTGGCCATACTCCCACAGAGTCTGAGTTAGGAGCTTGGGATCAAAGAGTTTAAATACAGCTTAGGGTTAAAAAGACAATGCAGTAAAAATAAAGTAGTAAAGGACCTAAACTGTGATTTGGTTCAGTTGCTTCTGCTCTAGCAGACATCCTGTAGGGAATGGTCACCCCATTTCTGTAATGCTCAGTGCTCTGGGGACACCTGGGCTGCCCTAGAGAGCTGGAAGCCCCCCTGGCATAGTAAAATGTGGAACTGGAGGTCTGTACCGCGTGACCCAGACGACATACAGCTCACTACAGTCTTCAGAGCCACTCCATGGGGTAAACTTGGATCTCTTCCAGAGCTGGAAGGAGTATAGCATCCCATAGTTGAACACAGCCCAGCTAATCGACTTTGCTTCATTGGCTAGACAGGGGACTCCAACCATGTCCCATCCTCACCCAGACATCACACCCCTTTGCAACATGTCAGCACCCTTTTGCTGTCATGTTTCCCATTCATGCCTTGAAGATGTAGCCCTTCCTATTAGGTCAGAGGTGCTCAAGAGTAAGGGCTAAGGGGGAAGAGGAGGGAGAGTTTCCCAGCGTAGCAAATGATGGTCACAGCATGGCTGATGGTCACAGCACTGCTGAGTGCAGCGGCATTGCAGGGGTGGGAGGACAAGAACTTGGTCACCTTGAAAGAAGCTGACGGCACAGGCCTACCTCCTTCCCCCCACGTGGCTCCAGAGGGATTTACAAAAAGAGGGCAAGTCCTTAAGGGTCACTGGTCTTTCTTATAAAACCACCAGGGCATTCCCAAGTGAGCTAAAATAAAAGTCACCCTGCTCCTTCCCCAGCTCCCCCTGAAGACAAATGTCCCATCCACTCTCCTTTCACTTTGAAAGAGGCCCAGTGTATGATCCCAGTTAATAAAGCTGTAGAAAGTGAGGCAGTGACCCCACCAGAGGCAAATCAATAGCAGCAGGGCCCCTGGGTATTGTGTACTTTAAAATATGCCATTTGAAATGCAGATTTTCCCTGCCTGGGCTGGGGCCACAGAGCACTAATCAGAAAGGCAGCAGCCTTATTATCTCAGGCTGTTCCAAGGGGACAGAGGGGAGCTTTTCCCTTCCTCGTTTGGAAGGATGTATTTCCTTCTGCTTCTCTCACTTCCTTGGCATGATCTTTGCCTCAGCATTTAGAGCTTTTTCCCATCCAATTTTATGGATTTGTTCCCACTTTCCTCCAGCCTGGTCATTATTATTGCTCAAATGTTTATCTTCTGAGGAGACCAGGAGATGTTATCAAACCGGTCCATGCATGTGGACAGGATTTATAGAGTTATGAGCCTGAAGTCCCCTTCCCATGGCTTCAGAACCAATGAGGCATCTGGACAGGCACTGGTGAGGCCATCTAAAGCATGGGAAGAGGTAGTACGTGATCGCTGGTCACCAGTGAAAAAAGGGAGGATTCACCTCACACATCTTCTGCTACCTCACATTGAGGTGGCTGAACTTCAGACAGCTACGTCATCAGTGGATGCACAGGTACCTCCACAGGGTTATCCATCATGTCCTACCACGGGAGACTTAGATGAAGCACAGCAAAGGGTAGTGTTTTGCAGCACAGCTGCACCAGAACAAGAGCTTGCTTGGTTCTTGCTGCCAGTCCTCCTCCCAGAAGTGGGTGCCTGCCTGGTCACTGCCAGCCTAGAGGATCAGGGTGGGGACCTGTGGCCAGAGGTGTTGTTGGGAATGAGATGGCCACCTCTGGCACTGGGTGGCTGTCAGACAGCAGGGCTGTGCAACTGCACTCCAGGAAAGGAAATATAATCCTTTTCCTATGGGAGGAGGAACAGATGCATGGAGAGATGAAGCGACTTACTCAAGGCCATAAACTCCTGGTAGAAACAGGACAAGGATGCTACAGTCAACATTTCCCAGTCTCCAGAAGAAAAACATGTGAAATTGAGGAAGGGGAAGAGGAGAGAGTAGGATTATTTCTGATGTACCCTTTTTGAAATAGTGTGATCATTGCCCTTGGAGAAGGCTTACTCTGAATGATCTGATGACCTTCTCATTTTTTTTGCAGTGTTATTCTCTATCCTCATATCTGAATCACCTGATGTTTTGTTTGACTATTCATATTCTTCATTCAGTAATAATAATAAAAGTAATAACAGCATCCTACGCTTCTCACCTCTAACGATCTATACAAACACTTAGCTAATTAATCCTCATGGTATCCCTGTGGTAGAAAGAGGTAAGTAAAGTGATCAATCAAGCAGTAAGAAGCCTCGTATTTGGTAAATCACGGAATTGACAAATTCATGACTGTTTTACCTAACTGGCCCTTGGGAAATAAAAACATCTTCCAAGCCTTCAAACAAACTTAAGAAATTCTGAAAAATATTCAGAAGGGTCCTTCCTTTTTTAAATTTATTCTTAAAAACAAATTTATTTTCTGATTATTTAAATTGTATTAAGACCAAAAAATTAATAAATGTGTGTTACATATGGATTCATGTGTCTTAGTGACTTTCTGAAAACTGTTACATGATAGTTTGGGTTTCTAAATTCCTGAAAACTGTGAATAAAAAAAGAAATATATATATGGAGCCCAAATGTGCAAATGGCTAAGTCATGGTTCACTTCCTGCTACTCAATTTTTCTGAAATACCAGGGAAATGACAGTCAGAAATATGGTATTTGCCCTACTACAAAATACCATGACTTCAAAACAGCTTCCTCTTCTGGAACAGATCAGAACAACTGACATGCATAACTGTTAGTATTTACCAAGTATACTGTCCCATTTTGCTCATTTAAATAAAATAATTATATGGTGAAGACAGTCTATCTTTATAAAGCAAATTTTCCCTAATTTTGTAGGGCTAGATTAGAAAATATATATCTTTCCAAAATAAATTTACAGTATGAATTGCATAAACTCTGGAAAAAGTGATTCTTCTCTTCAGCACTACCTCAAATCCTTTAGCAGAAATAGCCTTTCAGCTCCCCAGGAGCTGGATCAGGGAGGCAGAGGTGGGCAGCTAGGTTTCACGGTCAGCACCATAGTCACTGCCACCCCAAAATCCCAAGGTGACCACTTCTGATTATGACAGATCTATGCAGTGCTGGATGTACCCAGACACGTTGCAGTTACCGTCTGCAGTTCAGGAGCCAAAGCCATTTGCACTTTTTTGGAGTGAAGGGAGCTGGGATTTACTGAGGGGAAAGGACTTGCTCTAGGCCAGAGAGCAAATGTTACCATTGTCTGCGCTGCCTCTGTCCCCATCTGTCCGTTTTCACTCAGTAAATCTATGCCTGTCCGCTGCTGCAGAATACAATCAGTGCCATGACTGGAATTTGGCCAGGAGACCGTGGCTAACACTCCCACCCTATTTTTTATGCAAACTTGATTTATGACTTTGATCTTATTTTAAATAATTTAAAAATTAAATAATTTATACAGTATCTGTCACTTTCCAAGGCTCCTTCCTTTGTTCTTGCTCAGCTCTTCTGCGTTTTCCCATCTTCCCAACCCTTTTTGGTCTCTGCATGTTTCCTGTTCTTCATTGTGGGGCAGTAGTGACCTGAGACAGTCGCTAAGCACTTTCCACTTCCCACATAGAAAGAAGAGCTGGAGGAATTTCTTCCACCGCTGCTTATTTTGTTCAGGACTGTACTACCACCATTCATAGTCTGGTTTGACTTTTACTGCTCATGATTTCAGGCTTGGCCACCCCATCCTGCTTACCAGGATCTAAGAGGGTACATTGTGCTGCAGTATGTGCCTGCAGGTTCGTTCTCAGCTGGTAGCAGATCAAAGGTGGTGCTGCTTAGCATCAGCCTCCTCTACAGGCTGAGTTCAGACCTGTACCTCAAGCTGGCTTTATCTGAGACTGCAGAAATTGATGCCCAACTGATGTGGATCCACAGGAACCTGACAACAAAAAGGGCTGGTGCCCATACATGCATAAACTAAAATAATTAATTGCCTCATAAAAAAAATAATAATAAAAAAGAAGCAGCTAAATGAATCTGGGAAGACATTGCTGGGGAAAGAAAAAAAAAAAAGAAAAAGAAACAACCCAAACAAACTGAAACAAATTAGTAAAGGGACTCTGGGAGCTTTAGGGAACCATGAAAGCTGACTTGCCTTGAGCTGCATACAGAAGAGGTGAGGTGGGTCTGATGTGACTTTCTGCAACCCTGAAACAGCACACAGAGTTTGTGCCAAGCTTTGTCCTGTTTTCTTGCAGGTGGCACATGAGGGGGGAGGCAAAAACCTCATGCAGAGGAGAATCCCCTTTGCTTGCTGATTTCGTTGCCTCTGGAGCTGAGGCCATATGGCTGCTGAACCTGAGGACTAGTTGCTCGGCCGACACGGGGCCGTCGCTGCTATCAAGGTTAAGGTTGCTTAAGCTGAGGTCGAGTGGCTTGGCAGGGAGCAGCAGCAGGGAGTGAACCATGACACGGCCATTTGCTGAGCTGCTATGGAAGCAACTTAAAGAGGAGCTTGGGCCCAGAGCACTCTTGGTAAGCACGCTAACGACTGTCAGTCAAATACTGATGGACTGAGACCCTTGCCACCTCTCCCCAGTGGCGCTGCTTGATTTGTAAATCCAGGGCTGCCCACTCATCTCTCAAACAAGAGCACCGTGTGGGTTTCTGCTGAACTGGCCACCTTGATGCATGGAAACCTCTGGGTAGGAGCTAATTCGGTCCTGGTGAAGTGGATGGGGTGAGGGTGCCTCTCTGGGGGACTCAGCAGGCACCCACTGCCTAGGGACACCACAACCTGCTCCATGGGGCGAGCCACTAGAAGCTGCTGGATAACCAGCTCTTGTAGGACTGCTTGGGAACTCATCTGGAGATGTCAGTCAGGGCTGGACTGCAGTGGGATAGCCAGGAAGACATGCTCTGAGTACAAATCAGTGTCTCATGCTAGTCCTGACCTCACTATTAAGCACTGAGGCAGTTCTTAAACTTGCATTACCACCAGGTCCATGTGTGAGAGACCCGTGGAGAGATGGCATGAGAGAGAGCCAAGTCCCTGAGGGAGACTGGAACATAAATAAATCTGGCCATCATCTTCATTTGTAGATGGGAAAACGAGACCAGGGGGTCAAATGACTCACCCAAGGTCACACAAGTTGCTGGTGGCATTGGCAACAGCTGTCACTGCTGTCCTGCTCTTGCATTTTCACCGTTTCACCTTCCCTCCTCTTGACTTGCCTTAGCGCTTAAACTTCAGTTCGGGCTGAATAAAACTGCCCCCCCATTCCCTCTCACGCTATCGATCTCTCCATCTCCCGCTGGCATTTACGAGGTGCCAATCACCCTGATATCTAAGAGCCAGCAGTCCGGGGTGGATTAATCGGGACCGAGGGAACGTCACACAGCCTTGGCGCTCCCTTCCTTTCCTTTTGTGTGAGCCTGCGAGATGAAGCAGATAGGGAGAGACACAGATAGGGATGCTGATTGAGAGACAGCATCTGAGCAGGCTCTGGGTGTACAGGCGCCACACGGAAATGTGATCCCATCATTTAGACAGCTCTGAAGTCCCCAGGGTAATTGGTGTCACCAGCTTGTCATATCCAATGGGTCAAGATCTAAAACTTATTCTTTCCCCCTTATTAGCATATTTACCAGGAAAAAAAAAAAAAAAAAAAAAGGGTCCAATTCTGTTTTCACAGAAGTCGATAGGAAAAATATTCATTGGTTTCAAGGTTTCAAGGGGAGTGGGAGCAGCCCCAGGAATTGTTTCCACTCCTTCTTCAGAGATAAATGAAGCACCTCACTCAAGCACCTATCCTCAGAATGTCCTGTATTGTCTAGTGAGAAATAGATGGAGGGAACTTTTATGGTGTAAGGATGCAGACCTCATCTTCTTTTGTATCAGTATAACTCTGGGCTGACTCTTTTATCATGGCAATTATAGGAATTAGTCTAGATTAAAAATGAATATAGCTAAGAAGAGTGCAGTTAAGAAGAGATGTCCAGAGCATCAGGACAGTGCTATCTTTATGACCTCTTCAGCTGCCTGACTGATGCCTGTAGCATAATGCTGCAGCCATATTTTTGCTTGAAAACCTCTGCAGATGTTTGTCCCCAGCTGCCCATGGGTATCCCTCGTTTATTCCCCTGCTACATGAGGGCACAGATGCTGCATCCCTCCCTCTTCCTCCCCCCTTTTTCCTCCCTGTTTTTAGCCTAAGGAAAGGTACGTATGGTAGAAGCATTATGGTAGAAGCATCCATACTGGGGCTATGTCAGAAGTCCAGCTCCCTGTCCAGTTGTGAGTTGTCCCAGAGGCCCAGTGTCCAGGTTAGGTGTGTAAGACGGATACCAAAAGTTAAACATCACAACACTGCTTTGAATAGCTGACGCGTTTTCCCAGTGTGCTTAAACAATATTGCTTTGGGGAATCAGAACTGTGTGTGTGTATATATCTGCTTTTCCATTTTATGATGACACAGCTCAGTTTGCTCCCATCATTCAACTAATGAAGAAATTACTGGCTCCTATTTTGCTGTTGTACTTGTTTCTCCGCTCACATGTATTTTTGTGCTATCCCTGTCCCTGTGAACATGCATAGAGCCAATGTTTATACTTACTGCCTGTGCATAGGCGCCATAGGCTCCAAACTGGATGGCCATGGGGTTGAACATGCCCATTTGCCCCGCCATTTGCTGCATGCGCCTCATTGTACGCTCCTTGTCCGTATCCGCAAACTTCACCACCAGGCTTGAAGAGGCTCCCTGCAGGACAGGAAACAAAAGGAGACATGCAAGGGAATTAGTCAGGTACACATCAGCTCATGCAATCCATACAGCACACACGGACTAGGCAGTGTGGGATCCCGCTGGTGCTGATTTTTCCCACACAACTTTTTGGCCTTTTGTAATGGACCTTTGCAAGAGGCTAAGGGCATCAGGAAGGAAAGGACTCTCTGGGGGGTGAACAACTGAGGCCGGCAGCCCAGTTCCTAGTTTCCTCCAAAATTCAAACTTCTAGGCTGTCATAAATATTCTCTCTGCAAAAGTTTTTGCCTTACTCTTTCAAACTGTAGAAAACCTTCTGGCCTGTTTGCTCTCAGCAGAGGGTGAGGATCTGGACTCAGTGCAGCAAAATGTAGAAGTTTTTGCTGGAGTTATGTTGTGGGATTTGTGAATTGGCGGACTTTGATGGAATGTGTTAGCTCTGTGCATGCCAGACCACTAAGATGGATCACTCTTCCACACTGTGGTGTCTTGTAACCCCTACGTCCAGTGAGAAAGCCCTGCCTAGCCTTGGAGACAGGATTCAGTATGCTGGGTAGGGCAAAAGTCCCCTCACCAAGCAGCATCTAGTCAGCACTGTTAAATCAGGGGAGCAAAAATAGGACCTGAGTTCTCCATCCCTGAACAGTAGGGAAAAGAGAGGCTACCACAAAAGAGCCCAAATGTAATGCTACATTTTTCTGGGCAAGTTATACAATGTTTGGGTTCTGTCTGCAGTCAACACTGCTGCAGAACTACTGATGATCATGAGAGCTGGCTGCAGGAGTCTGAAAAATGTAGAGGTTTGGGGAATGAAAGGGCTCTCTCTCCTTCCCAAAATGAGATGAAAGGTCAGTGACAACAATTCTTAAATTTCTGATAGGAGGAGGAGATGGGAAGAAATAGACCTGCTTAGGAAGGCATGCACTGAGATTGTTTTGGCTGGCTCCAAGGCCTTCCTCACTGCATGGGTTGCTTGATTCCCTACAGTGTGGTGTCCCCAGGGGGATGGGGATGCAGCCCCGACAGCAGGCAGACAGTTGCCTCAGGAGCTGGGCTGCCACCGCGCCTGGGGAGAAGGGCAGGTGAGCTGTCAGGAGACTGACAAAAAGCAGCTGAAATCATCGTGTTCCCATGGTACGCTTCCCTTTTGACACACTGGTATTCACTGATGGAAATACAGTCAGCGGGGAGACGGCAATAGGGGAGCACCAATTCCGTGCCAGAAGAGCTAGGCTGTTGTGGGGCCCTCTGTTTTCCTTCAGAGGTGGGATTACATGGGATTGCACAAGGGGAGTGTAGTTAATTTGCTTACCTACACACCTATGTACTCATGACTAGAAAAAAAGTGTCTCAGGGAAAGAAGAGTTGCTCCGTGACAAATTGGGAATAGTGTAGTAAACAACAACCACGGACATACATATATATAAGTCCAGGCTTTGCATATTCAATAGCCTCTCCAGATCCTCAGTTATGAATAAGGAGTTGAGGAATTAACTCTCTAAAACAGAAAACAATCTAAGGCCACACAATGAGCAATGTTCCCCTGGATTAGCAGACTGCTCTGGGAGAAAGTGATTTTCATTGGCAAAGAATCTTTCTTTTTGACCTGTTACTCTTTCTCTAATAAATCTATAACCCACTTGAACAATGTGGTGAAGAACAAGGGGTTGAAAGAAGTGCTTCAGGAAAACAAAGGCAGGGAGAGATGAATGCTCTATTCAAGGGTGGAGAGCAGTCTTCAGAAGTTATTAAGAGAGCAAAACAGAACACAGGAGTGAAGGGGGAGTGGAGAAAAAAAAAAATCAGCCAAGATTCCCCTGCATTTCTGCTCAAGACTGGGCAACTTTTCATTTTATTTTTTTTTAAATCACACGATGTAGTTATTGATCCTTCCCCAAATCACACTCTTAATTGCAGCTCATCGACAAATGAATATTTTAATGCATACATTTCCTGCTAATTATCACCTGGACCAGTCCTTAATTAGATTTCAACACTCATTTAATTAACCCTGATCCAAGAGACTGTTTGGTAACCTGAATCTAATCATTTAAAGCTATTTGTAGCTGTATTGGAAGGAGGCAGTGGTCCACAGCAGATTGGGCTGTTCAGAGCTGTTGTTATGGTTTGCAGAGCAGAGGCTGCAGCATGGTGGGCACAATACAGTATGGAGAATTTTCAGACTGAATAATCTGAACGAGTATTCATCTCTGTAAATGGGTTTTAAAGATGTGACCTGTTCTAGATAGCAGAACGGAGAAGTGTAAATAAGTTGGTGTCTTCTTCCTTTGCCTTTTCTTTCTATCTCTGTTTGCCCTGGAAGTCTTAGGGCTGGAGACCTGCCTCAGGAAATTGCTGATCCCTCACGTTTTTGAAAACCAAGCCTTTATTGTAAATGACATCATGAAAACGTGGGTAAGCTCCATATGAAGTTCTTGCCCCTGGAGTGTTCTTCCCTCCTGATGTGAGTCACAGTGACTGCACAGCAGCCGTTTGACCCAATGGGATCCAAGACTGCCTCTTATGAGATGTTTTTCTGGGTTGCCTGTCACAGCAGGACTTCGGGCCTCTTTGAACACCACTATCATATACACAGGGCAGAAAGGCCATTGGCAAAAAGAATCAAGTTAGAACACAGACTACAAAGAAGGAATAGAAAAGGCAGCTTTTTTTTTTCTTTTTTTTTTTTTTTTTCAGAGCACGCTGCAATGAGATGTACATGCAAGCAGTTAAAGATAAGTAGCCAACAGAGATGCTGCTCTGCTCTTGAATATGAACATTGACTTTGGGATCAATGCTTTCTATATGTGGTTCCTCATGTGCAGCTCTTACACACAGCCTGAACTCTGAATCAGGCAGTGAACTCTACCAGGCCACCCAGTGAAGGATTTTTAGCAAAGGAGCCAAACAGCATTCATCTAAAGCAGCCACAAGATTACTTTCTACTCCAGTGACTCCCCATAATCCACTAGATAACATTAGAAATACCACAGAATGGGCCAATTTTCAATGGGGTAAAAACTACAGAGCACTTCATCTGGGCTATTTATTGCTTCTGTGAGCAGTTAAACCATGGTGTAAATCAACCGTTGTCTGCTGACAAAGGCAATAGGTCCTGTCTGCTTGGTCATTTATTAGTAATACATAAGCCTCACCCTTGCTCTCTCTGGTTGTTGGACTGGACATTACATTTCCCCAACCCCCAAGAGAGCTACAGTAGGTAAATCAATAGTGTTTGAAATATACTTTGAGATCTGTGTTAATTCTGCATTTTACCAAGGAAAAGACCTGTTTATTTCTCTGCCTTGCAGATCCACAGTCAAAAGAGACTATTATGAAAGTGAGCCTTCCTGCTGGTGCCTCTGCAATAGGCTACTTGGAATTGGCATTTATCTCCTCTCCCATCAAATCAACCTCCTTTTTCAAGTGCTTTGATATCTACTGATGAAAAGAATAATATAAGGGCTAAGTATTATTATGCTTTCCCCATTCTCTCTTGGGCCAGCAAGTCTACTTAATATGACTATCTTGCTTCCTGTCCCCCTCCCGTGCGTGGTAATGAATTGCTCCCCTTAGTCAGCAGAGTCAGATGTTCTCTAGGCTGGCGGGGCGAGGAAAAAGATGGAGGAAAAATCACCCTGCACCACACTCACTTTGTAATCCCTAATCAGAGTCCTCTGTGGGAAAAACTAATTTCCCAGCCTGTCTTGACGTGTGAAATAAAGTCATTCTTGAAAACAGGAGCTTGACAGGTCGCTTGTGAAATTTCATATTCAACTAAAAATAAAATATCCATCCATTGATATTTCATTTAAAGGCAAAGGAAAACAAATCTTTTGCCTGGATGTTGGGACTGGTTTCCATTAGTTATGCCCTTCCAAATGGAGAGTATGCACAAATTAAGTTTAATATTTTGAACTGACCAAATAATACTGCACAGCATCAGGGAAATCTGCCTCTCCCTAGAACAATATTCATAGGCACAGTTTTGTGAAGATGTTTCCTTGCAGAATATATTCTTGATTTTACTTTCTTTGGCAGCCCTGTAAGTCTTCTCTGACTCAGTATGTTACCTACCTTTAGAAATGGTTAGAAATATTTTTCTTGCAAAACTGATGAATTTGGGCCCAATTCACTACAGCCATTAAGATCATGTTTCACTTTAAGCTTCACTAATGTCTCATTGGATGTAAGCATATACTTAAGTACTTTACTGCAGGGATGTCTGTCTCATACAGGTGGACTTTTATCTCATGGTTAGCTCAAAGGGAGCCAATAAAATGTTGGACCAAAAATATTTTAAAATGGCTTGTACATTAAAGCTCTAGTGACTAAAGCTCTTGAGTATAAGAGATTGGAATGTGCAGATCCCACTAAGTAGCTTCCAAAATGTCATCCATGCGTACCAGCTAAGATGCTTAAATGAAAAGATACTGCTGGATACTTCCCATTTGGGCAATCAGACTACCTTCTTAAGTGTCACCATGTGAATGGGGTTGCTCATGCTGGACATTTTGCCTTAGCACTCTTCCCTTGAAGCATTCTTTGCTTTAGCACTCTTCCCTATTTTCACAAAAGGATCCCTAAAAGGCCTCGAAAACCAAAGGGGGAGTTTTTTGCTTCTTTGTTTTGGGTTCTATCAGATCAGGGTATTTGGTATGATGTCTCCTAAATTTGAAAGCAAAACTAGAATGGAGAGACGGGGAGGGTTGATTTCATGTATCTCTTCTTTAAAAAAAAGTGCTGCTGAATAAGCCAGCAAGGGGGCTTGAACCCAAACCTGGGATTTTAGACAAGTGAGAAAGAAACTACTGTCCAATTAAAACTGTAGAGCAGAGGGAATTTTAGCTAGGTAGAGATGTAATTACCCATGCTGGAAGATGGCCAGAAGACCAGGACTAACATCCCTCCCCTCTTGTGAGATATGCTATGTTTTTCTGTACTCAGGGCTTCAATTTCATGTCTCATCTGAAAGATGAGTAGGACAGCAGTCACTA